TTAATTTTTGGTTATGGGGATCGAACTCTGGACCTTGCGCTTGCGATGCAGGTGGCAGAAGCACACATATTCTGATGTAGCACATCTATTAAAACACTCATGCATCTCCAAATAATTTTGCATACATTTTTACAGCCTATTCAATGGTAAGGGACTCTTTCAAGAAAGCTGCTTTTCCCCTTCCCTCCTTCCCTCCCTCCCTCCTTCCCTCCTTCCCTCCTTCCTTCCTTCGTCCCTTCCTTCCTTCCTTATCATTATTAGGAATTGAATCCAGGGTCTTTGCACTGAGCTACATCCCTCCCCCTTTTGGAGACAGGTTCTTGCTAAGTCACTAAGTTGCCCAGACTGGTCTTGAACTTCCAGTCCTTCTGCCTCAGCTTCCCAGAATGCTGGGATGATAGGCATGTGCCAGTTTCCTCTATTTTACCTTATTCTAGGGCCTGATGAAGTGATCTGTTGTCTCACTGACACTTATGATTTGTCAGAATAGGGTTCTGAGGTCATGAGAGATCTTCACATGGACTTTTACATGGGATTTAGACATCATCTCAGAGTGTGGCAGAAAAGAAAATGCAATGGGACTTGCCTGACTTTGTACCTCCCAGGGTTTGGATATAGCAGATGGGTCACATGCAGTCATCATCATTGCCCTTAGGAAGAAAAGAAAAATTGTTAAAATAGAAAGAAATACAAAAGATGTTGTTGTTTTTGATACCAGGGATCAAACTCAGGACCTTGCACTTGTGCAGCAGGCGCCAGAACCACTGAGCTAAATCCCCGGCCCCCAAAAGATGTTGTTTTTGCTAAAAGAGAAACACAATTTGGACTACTCACATGATAACCTCTTTTTTGGTTGGATCAATGGTTACATATTTGATGGCCTCCTCTTCAGTTTGCATTTGTTCACAAGCATCAACAAGTTTTTGAAACATGGTTCTCTTCCTAGGAAAAATATTGTTATGCTACAATTTTCTCATATAAAAGCAGATGAAAAATATCTTAACTATGTACTTTTCATATTTTATATTCCCACTTTGCTTTGGGACATTAACATAGCAGTCGAGGCTAGGAGATGGGAATAGCCAATGGCTAACTTTGGCATGAGAAAGGCCTGAGGCAGAAAAGGCACAAACCATAAAGAGGCAAACATAAGTAAGTTTCAAAACTTAAAACTAAAAATTACAAATGAGAAAGGAGATCATAATATAAACATAAAGGCCACAGATTGTGATAAGATAACAGCACATATAACCAACACAAATTTAGAACCCAAAATATATGGATGTTTGGTCTGACTGATAATCAAGACAAATTTGAACAATAGATACCATCTCACGGTCAATAGGTTAGTAGAATAAGCTTTAAATGTGCATGTATTACAGATGTGAGATCACAAGAATTTTGTTCACTCCTAGTGGGAAGGTAAGTTGGCACAACTACAAGAGTACAGTTTTGCAAAGTGGTACAGTGTTGAACAAATGCAAATCATGCAGCATTCTTATCTGCATTTGAAAGACTGGAAATAATCTAAACATCCATGCCTAAAGGAATGAGTAAATTAATTTTAATATATTTAACAGCTGAATAGTCTATACAGTTGAAACACATGAATTAGCTTTTTACTTATAACCAAGGGTAAACCTGTAAAACAATGTTGCATGAAAAAAAGCAGATTTCAGAAATCTGTCTGTAAATACTGTCTGTATGTACAGACAGTATGATATGATATACAAAAAATTTAAAAGACACTTAACAGTGCCATATAAAAAATATGAGTGGAAAAGATGAATACACATCAACATCAGATGGTGATATCTTTGTGAGAAGGGAAAGAAATTCCATAGTGGAATAAGAGTAGAGTACCTTAATCTCATCACTCACTCTTTTTCCTCCTTAAAAAATGAGATCAGAGGCAAATGTAGCAAAATTGAACATTGATTGAACCTGAGTATTTAATAGCTATTTTAAAAGAAAGATCAGAAAAGCATAATTTGAAAATGCTCGTCATTGAATATTTGGATCTTATTAATTATCTCACCTTGTTGTAATCATTGTTCACCAAGCAACTTTATATTTCACATACAAGAAAATGTGTGGATACTTGGAATATCTGGCCTCCTTGGTAATATCATAAATAGGCAGGCACACAACTTAGTTTTGTAGGTTTGACCCATGTGTGTCAGAATCATCAAGATCATTCAGCTTCCATGCTCTGGCAGGATCAAATTTCTGAACTTGAAACACTGCATGCCCCATTCTGGTCCAGGGTGTACTCACCAAGAGAAAAAGCCACCATATGAAATTTTTGACCTCACTCTTCTGATAATGAACAAATGAATTTCTTAATTCAAACTTCTGATAAAAAGCTATACAGATGAGGGACTTAAGTTTTTAAATATGTTTTCTGATGTATGGTAAATTTACTTCCAGGCCTCTACGTTGAGGATATTCTCATTGATAATCCGAAAAAACCACCAAACTTGTGTGCATCTGTGTGAATAAATGCCCTTTAACCTTAATGCAGCAGATAATTCATGGAAGCAGAACCACACATTGTGTGGGCCTCCTTTTGTATAGTCAGGTACTTACTTGAAATACAAAGCCAAGTCAGTTGCTATTATTGCAACCTCAAAGAGATGAATAGCTGTATCAAACTGCTGCTTATTTAGGTTCTGGAAGATGTTTAAACTCTGTAAGATGAAAATAAATCCACAATAAAGTGCAATCATTAATTTACCTTTGGTTCAAAAAATATACCAACCAAACTATGCTTAAGGAGAAGAAAATCTAGGCCTTGCAACGCTTGTTTTCAGCTTTTATGCCATAGATTGAGTAAACCCCTCTATGTATAGTAAGGTAATTTAAACTATAAAAATAGACAGAGTTAGCAAATATTAAGGTCATCAGTGTCTAAGAGTAAATAACATCTTTTTGAAGTAAATGCTATTAGTGTTTTCTACCAACAATATTAAAAATAGAGTAAAAATTTGCTTTAATTGAGGCACTTTAAGAAAGAATTTCTGTCAGATGTCCAGATATTAAACATGTTGAGTTATCTACCAGGTAATTTTAGAATGATCATAAAAGCCATTGGTCTTTCAGAAACTGGAAATTATACTAGTACTCATGTATGTGTAGAAAAAATAATGAAGCTCATCCATGTTGTCCTTTAAATATTTTCTTGAAATAATATTTTACAAAGGCTTACCTAGACCTTTCTTCAGAGTTTATTAATAATTAATAGTTTCCTCCCATATATATCAGCTTCATTTCTTAGTGTTCTGGGAAACCAGGATATAAAACTGGGAATGGTTGTTAAAAGCCCTGACATTCCAAATAGGCCATTTTAGTAATACAGACCAAAGAACAGATATAATGAAATCAATAATGCCAAAACAAAGTAAAATTCCACTGGAAGAAAGAGGACATAGTTATCCTATCCAGACATAGAAGTAGCACAATATAGAAAATAATCCTGGACTAAACAGTTCTTATTGCCTACTAGATTTAAGTGCTTTATGAATACTCTTAGTGCCCTTACAACAAACCACAGCACAGAGAGGTCAAATAACTTGCTTAGGTTAAGCAGCTAGAACAGGGCAGAACCAGTATCTGAACAAATGGAGCCTGCCCACAGAGTTTGTGCTCTCAGTCTCTACACTACACTGCCTCCCAACAAGGAGCCCAACCCAAGTTCCTGGCTTTGCTACTTTGCTTCCTGGACCCTGCCCTCAACTCCTGTGTTCTGTTTTCTCAAATGGGGTTGATAACAGCCGCTCTGCCTAACTGCCTAGCACTAAGTCAACACTTAAAGATAGGATCTGTGAAGCACCGACTCAAATGAAACTGTAATGGGAATGCATTTCAAAAATCCAAATTGCTATAAAATTGAATTATTGCCCTGTCATTATTAGTTATATAAAATATTGAGGCTACCACTAGGTTAGAAAAGAACTGCAAACCCCAAAACCAAATATGGCTCTTGGTCATTGTAAGAGATTGAAGTATTAGAAAGCAGTAACTAGACAAGAACTTGTTTATATACTACATTATACAAAATACAAAGCTTCACTTACATTGTCTTTTTTATAACACCTTCTAGGACAAGAAAAATGGTATTTTATGAAGCATATGTAAATAAAAGAAAGGGAATTTGTGACCACACCTCTTCAAGACATTCACAGAAGGGGACTTCAGGAAGTGCTTCAGAAAGGGGCAAAGACAGTGGGACAGGTGTGTTCAAAGTAGGAAGGAGGATTTTGAGGGGGATTCGTGGCAAGGTGTTTTTTTAAAAATTGTAATAAATTTTGAAAAATGTAAACATTAAAAAAATATAAAATAAAAGAAAGGAAAGCTGTGCATTGCTTTATTAATACAATAAGTTAATGACAGTGAGTATAGTTACCCTTAAGATTAATTAAAGCTATGACTATCGAACTCTCCAAATTACAATAAATGAAAAGGATAAATTGTCTGGTTAAAAACAATTTCTTACTTGGGACAGTTCACAGCAACCCCATTGAGCATATAATCCAGAATCTCTGTAACAAATCTTCTGGATCAAGTTATTTTTCACCCTGGTCTGCATTGGCCAAGGAAGGCAAAAGGAAATGGGGCATTTGACATTTTAATCCCTTTAACCTGCCCTGGCCGTACACTTGATCTTAGCCAAAGGCCGAGAAGTGATTGTCCTGGCTTTAGATTGATGGTGGCCTACCCTTTGGACTGATGGTCACTGGTATGGCTTGTGTCTACATGTCCCCCCCCGACACACACACACAAAATTCCTCATGCCGTCATCAGTGCGGCTTTTTCAGAGGTGGCTGAATCTAGAGTGTGTTATTGATTCATTGTGCAATAGGGATTGAGGGTGTTAAGATTAAAGGTGGGTGATTACTAAATCAGTCCACCGATTGGTTTGGCACCACCTAATCCTGGTAGCCAGGATAAAATATAAGGTGCAGAAAGAGGCTTGTTTTGTCTGTTGTTTGCTTTGCTACCTTCTGCGTGCCATGAACTGTTTCTACTCTGCAATGCCTGTCTGCAATGCCACCCTGCCTTGGAGCCAGACGGTTATGGACTGAAACCTCTATAAACTGTGAGCTAAATAAAACTTTCCCCCTTTAGCTTTGGCTGTCAGGTATTTTATCTCAGCAATGAGGAAAGTAACTAAGACATTTATCTAGTGGCACATTTATAGAAGTGAGTCACTGCCTTTATGTGTTCACTGAGGTACATTGCTATGCTCCCAAAATAATGTGCATCACAGGATTATTCAGCCACATATTTCACAGATTTTTAACTTTTTCTCTCTTTTGGTACTTGGGATTAAATTCAGCGCCTCACAGATGGTAAGCAAATACTCTACCATTGAGCTGTATCTTTGGCCTTTCAATAATATTTAAAACCAACCTTGATTTCTGTAATAAAAATAAATTGGAGTGAGGGCAGCTAGGAATGCAGAAAAATGTCTTAAATTTTTAGGTAAATAGGTTGTTATAACATATGGAATCATTTTAAAAAGCCATACAGACTGATGAATACAAAGAAACAATCCCTTAGGACAGAAATATCATTGCCTCTGCCAAATGTCATATTGTACAGAGCGCATAATCTACAACCATTGACCAAAGCAATCAATATTTATTATGCAACAGTTATTCTAGTGCATATCACTTATATTTGTAAACATGGACATCTGTTGCTATTTGAGAAATATACATGTGTGTGAAAGAAAAAGCCATCTAGAGAGGTAGAGAAATAAGACTAACATTGTTGCACTTCATTTAAGTCATGCCTTTTCACAATTCAACACAATAAAACAGCTGGTTTACATTAAACAAAAATGGTTTATATTCAACTTTTTAGTACTGCTTCCTTTCTATGTGACATAGTGCACCTGAATTTCACTCCTATCTTTTCCTTCTCATTCATTTTCACTTTCATCTAAAAACATGTACAAGTCTCCTAATTTAAAAAGCTTTTCTCAGTTTTACATTCTTTTATATATACAGTTTTTTTACCTGAGTTTCTTAAAAGAAAACCTTTGAATTGTTTTTAAGTTTGTGGATATAAATTCATGTAAAAGATCTTGTTTCTGTTTTTGGATTGGATTTGGATTGAGCTAGAATACTCTTGGCCAAACAGTGGCCGTTGTCTAATAAATGTTTGTGTATCATTGCATACATTTGGGATATATATATATAGGCTTTACCATGCTTTACCTAATTTTTCTTATTTCTCCATTAGCCTTTATTTTCTTTTTCTTTAACATTGTATGTATTTTGGGAAACTCCATTAAATCCTCTTGGAACAAATTTAGGACTAAACATACACATAAAGCTGGGGTTCTTTTGGATTGTTGGTTTAAAGACAAACAGACTCAGTGATGCTTTAATTAGAACAAGATTTCTCCAGTTGTGCACCACACAACGTCAAGGTAAGTCTGTCCCTCTGAGACTGCACAACACCACGAACAACAGCAGAAGAGGAGTAGGTGGAAAGCTGTGCCAACAGACATTGTACTGACTCCACTACTGGGTCTCCTAGGGTAAAGAGAATCACATGGGGAAGCAGACAGCGATGACCTGATCCCAATACAGAAAGCCTGAGGATCACAGGCTTTGCACAGTTTGAGCTTTGCCAACTCTGAAAAATCAAAATCAAAGAGGTGTGTTCCACAAATAAAAGAAATACCACTGGTGAGAGATTATTTAAGACAACAAAGTGAAAGCTAAGGATTTTTCCAGCTCATTGCTGCCCTCCCCCCACAGTATTCTTCAGCAGTTGTCTGGCTCCATTCAAGGATGAGTAATTTCCAAAAGGGAACAAGAATATAATCATTTATATAAAGACCACAAAACATGCGCTGGGGATTTAGCTCAGTGGTGCAGTGCCTGCCTGCCTGTCAAGCACAAGGTCCTGAGTTTGATTTCCAGTAGTGAAAAAAAAAAAGACCACAAAACATGAAATAATCTATAGATTCAGAGCAATTCCAAACAAAATACCAGTAAGTCTGAGTATATGTGTTTGTAAATTGATTCTAAAATTCACATGGAAATGAAAAAGTTCAAAGGGTACTAGACCAATAAAAGTTGAATTAAGAATAAACAATAGGACATTATAAAGCAAAATATGAATTTTATAAGTATGTATGATACATACCTTATAAAACAGAGGTGAAAATGTGGGAAAAGTATAAATATCCTAATTGTTTTGTATTTCATAGCAGGAAGTTAAAAGACAACATAAAGTTAAAACTATAGTTTAAAAATAAATGCTTAAATGCTATAGATTTTTGTAAGTTTTCATGGTCATTTTAGAAGAGTCTTTGAGAATTAACAACTCATAATAATGACATAATTATGTAAAGTTCTACAAATCCTTCCATTTCAAACTATGTTTTCTGTTAAACTCAAGTGAATTGTTTAATGCTTTTGCCATTCATTCATTCCTTCATTCATCCATTCATTCATTCATTCATCCATTCATTCATTTTGGAGTTTTAGGAATTGAACCCAAAACTTTGAACCTAGGCAACTGCTCTACTACTGAGCTACATTCTCAGCCATTGCTTTTTATTCAAGATAGATGGAATTCTAATGAGCAATGAAAAGGAACGAATCACCAACATGGACAAATATCAAAATTAAGATTCAGTATGAATGAAGCCAGTACAAAAGAATGCTTCTAGTATGGTTGCACTTCGCAGAATCTAGGAAATGCAAACCAATCTATAGGAACACAAAACGTTTCAGTAGTTGTCTGGGGCTGGGGGTGAAGAGGAGCATACATTGCAAGGGGCATGAGTGATCAGTCATTTAGAAATGGTCTGTATATTGGTAGTAATGGTACTTTCCCAAGTGTATAAAATGATAAAAACTCCTGGAATTTTGCACTTTAAAAGGATTCAATACATACATCTGACTTTGTAATGTTGATTTAAAAACGTAGCTCTGACTCCAAAAATAGCTTTATAATGTGATCTTATTTTTCAAAATACTTTTTGTCTCCATTCTATCTGTGGATATGCACAGGGTGACTGCAATGAAGTTCTCTGAATGTTAATGAAATAGCTCTTGCTGTCTGGTAGGATTTGAAGCCTCCTTCTTTTTTTTTTTTTGAAGCCTCCTTCTTTCTATATTTGTCTATGAAATTTCCCTATTACTTGAATTTTTTAGTGAGTATATGTAATTCTTAAAACAATCTTGTCATTAACTTTAAAATATGTAAGTATGTAGCATTCCATTTTTCCCAAGTGCACCCAAACATGGCAGGGGGCTTTGTTCCCAGTTCCTTTCCAGGCAAGCCAATCCCTCCATGCTCAGCTGGTCTCAAGAGCTCACAGAGAGTCTATTTTTGTTCTTCTCTCTTAAAATGGTAATACAAATATGAATTCTTTGTTGCACACCAAAACAGATGGAAATGGTTTTAATTCATTCTGCTTGGGGATTGCAGGTGAGTGGAAGCCAGAGAAAGCACAGGCAGTTCTAATCTTCAGTGCAGTGCTTGCAACACCCACAAAAGAAGCATGTTCTTGCTTGTTAGTGGCTGTACACAAAGTATTTCATTTTTCTTCACTACTTCTTTGAATAACATGAGACAAGCTGATAGGGTATGTAAGAAAAAACACAAATATAATTATATGGTTTGTAAATAGATGTTCTAAATGACAATAGCATTCTGTTGTTCTATTGCTGAGCAATTTATTTGGCTTTATAATATGAAAATTAAAATGTCTGAGTAATGCTCAGAAATGCCAAAGTACTGGATAAATCCCAAGGATTTCTCTTATTTAAAGAAATGTAGTAAGTATATTTTTGTTATGGAATAAAAGAATAAAAGAACTACACTGCCTCCTCAAAATGTACAAAGCATATCTGATGGCTAAAAATGTCTTTTTTTAATGTTCAATTTGCTCATAAGCGAACTGACTGCATTGCCTAGCAACTCTATTGACAAGGCTTTAAATGTCTGCAATTAGCAGGCAAATAGAATTGTAGAGAAGTCCTTGAAAAGATGGTATGGATTACTGAGAGGCAATATTCCTTTTTAGAAAAAATAACAAGTCTTTGAATAGCCATCAAAGCCAGTTTAGACTGCAATGTAAATAAAATAAAAAATTGAGATGGAAAACTGTAACTCTGTTGTAAACTGTCAAAGTCCAGAAGAGAAAACACACAGATACTAGGAGCCTTCCCATGATATACATTTAGTTATTTTGCTGCAGTTTTCAAATGTATTTTGCTTCCATAAGTATGTGTATAATTAAATGGTAGACTATATATATATAATACATATATTTTTTATATATATATATATATATATTTTTTTTTTTGGCAGTACCAGGGATCAAACTCAGAACCTTGTGCTTGCCAGGCAGGCAGGACACCACTGAGCTACATCTCTGGCCCTGGTAGATAATATTTGATGCTGCCTCAATGTGGTATTACAGAAACAGTAACGTGTTAAAAAAATTCTTACTCAGAAACCAAAGATTGTCCTACAAGTAAATTAGGCAATAACAATAAATTCAGCAATGACAATTTTCTCTTTCCTTCCTGAATTACTTTCAGTTCTACTCCTTTTAATTTTCATGGAACAGATATTATCTATGTTGTGAATTCTGCTATTGGGAGAGATTCTGTTGGCACATCAGACAGAATGGAGGCCTGATTCAAATGCAGATTTCCAAGCCCCGACTCTAAGGCACCTGCTCAGTAATTGGGAAATGAAGCCTTGGGTCTATGTTTTTAAGAGCACTCTCCTCCCTGATAAACTGATGATTCTATAGCGGTTAGTCCAGTACCCATGTCTGAGGACTGTCATCTTGGAATCACACAGATGCTATGGCTTGAATATGGTTTGTCCCCTCTGAAACTGATGTTGAAGCATGATTCTCAAAGTGAGGGTTTTGAGTGGTGTTTAGGGCTTTAAGAAGGGATCAGATAGATCATTAAGAGGGATTAATACCTATCTGAGAGTGGGTTCATTCTCACAAGCAGGTTGTTAAAAAGCAAGACAGACCCTTGCGTTTTGTGTCTTCCGCATATACCCCCTTGCTTTCCACCATTAGGCCCTCGGCAGAAGCTGAGCAGATGTCACTGCTAGATATTGGACTTTCCAGCCTTCAGAACCATGACCCCAAATAAAACTCTATTATTTAAAAATTATCCAGTTTCAGGTATTTTGTTACAGTAACAGTAAACAGACTAAGACTCAAGGTTAGTGCTTTGCCAAGAGCATTGCAGATTGAGCAAAGCTACAGCAGGGTTAGCATGGACATGGTGTTGGGTGCTCATCAGCCATATGTTATTAAAGCTGCTCAAGTTATTTTTTTCTTTCTACTTTTTTTCCTAGTTACTCTGCCTTACAAGATGTTCCCAATTGGCTGTGTGGATCAACTTGGCTTTTCATTAATAGAAGAATTTAATGTTTTGTACAGTGTCGAACATATTTCTGTATGTGCCCTCTCTGAGATGGTAATGAAAATTTATTACTGAAGGTGAGAAAAGCCCCACCCTCTAGATGATGTGTTTATCCTAAGTAATTCTAAACAAATTCTCTACCTGTGACAAGACAATATTCCCCTGAATCCTGGCTTGTAACTTTCATAAGAAAATGTTATTAGATTACATCTATGATTCATTCACATGCCTCTATATACTCCTTAAATAAAACTGATAAATAAGAATGATCACCCCCTGTGTTTGGGTCAGTAGTATACAATATTGTCCAGTCATAATGAATTCTACAAGTTTAAAGCTACGTCTTGCCTAAAGCCATCTCTAACCTTTCCATCTTCTCCAGTGAATGTGTTCTCTCCCTTTGGGACTCCAGAGAATGACTCAGTGCCTCTCTGATAGTAGGAGTTTGCTTCTGTCTTATGCCCCGACCCATCCTCATCTCCACTACCAAAGCCTGACTTTCTCTGAGGTACACACCATACTCTACAGTGTGTTGTTCTTCATGAAAGAAGAAAAGCAATGGTCACATAGCCTGCTTTCCCTGTTAATTTAACTTTCTATGGTCCCTTTTCTCCTCTGTCTCAGCTACTTCTAGCTTGGTAGTTCAAAAATACTGTAATCTAGTAACTTTTGTTAATCAACTTAGATAAGAGATACATGGCCAACGCTATAACCTAGGGCTGCCCCCTTTCCAAACACTTTCTGTGGGTTAATGCTGGAACTCACAAGCTACCCAAGAGAAGGGCTCACATACCTCATCCTTCAGGAGAGTCTTACTGTACTCCAGGTGGTGTCTCTCCAAAATAGAAGTCCCATGAAGCTTAGCTAGTAGAGATGTTGATCTAGGAGGAAAAGGATGTACTACAACTTCAGCTCTTTAAAATTTACACATAATCCATACAATACAGAATCTTTACTATCTCAGGATTCTTCTTCTTCTTTTTTTTGTACCGCTAAATATGGTTATCTTTATTTTCTTTTTCCTTGCCCAGCCCTATCTAAACATAAAATAAAACTACAGGACTGAAATTAACAATCCATTAAAATCAGCAATAAGTTATGAAGATCATAAAGCTTTTTAAAAGTGATTAGGGGTAGTTAAATTATTTAAAGTATACAAAGTCCAAAATGTCCCCACCAATGTCTCTGAAATCATCAAAATTATATATTAAAAATGTTGTTTTAGATTTAAAGGTGAGAATATGCTATTTTAAGGATAAAAATACATTTTTTGAATGCATAAATGATTGTTTACACTAGGAAATTTGATTCCTCCTTAAGTTCCTTGAAGTTTATGGTAATGGATTATGACTTACAAGAGAGATAGCAAACCTATGGAAGTCTATAGATTATCTGCATACAAAGTGTTCATTAAGAATTCTCAGAAACCAAGAAGAAAATCACTATAAAGTAACGTTTCACTTTTCCCCCAAGTTAGTGACATGAATGTAAACTTTCCCATTCATTAAGGGTTAAACTCACCCAGAGGCACCCTGATTTCTTCAAAGCTTCCTATCCCAGGAATGGGAGGCTACACTGAAAATATAAAGGAAGATAGAATAAAAGGTAGAAAGATGCTAAGGGCAAAGGTCTACACATGGGACGAATTTGTCATGGAAACATGGAATAAATAATTTTAAGGAAGGAAAAACTCAGAAACATAGATGACTGCCTTAGAAGTTTCACTTTACTTTATAGAGAGCAGAACTTCAGAGACAGGAGGAGCCATTGGAAGGATGTAGAAAACCAAACACAAAGGTAGATGAAAAATTAGACCATGTCTGATGAATATAACAATCATAATTTTAACAAATATGTAAATACCTACTGTTTGTCAATATTGGAGGTTTTTAAAAACTGAATCAAATTTAATTCCAGTTAGAAGAGAGTGCAATATGTAATTCTTTTTAGGTTTAAAATGATGCTTGAGGGCCGGGGATTTAGCTCAGTAGTTCTGCTGCCTGCCTCACAAGCGGAAGGACCTGAGTTCGATCCCTGGTACCAAAAAAAAAACACCAAAAAAACCCCCCAAAATAAAATAAAATGATGCTTCATCATCATTTTAACAAATCTTCGAATACCTACACTGTTCAGTCAGCATTGGATTTTTTTTTTTCAGTACTGAGGATCGAACTTAGGATCTTGCTCTTGCAAGGCAGGCTCAGTGCCACTGAGCTAAATCCCTGGCCCCAGCATTGCATATTTTTTCAGAAGTATTTATTTCTTTTTTTTGGTACGGGGGATCGAACCCAGGACCTTGAGCTTGAGAGGCAGGCGCCCGAAACACTGCCCCCGCATTGGATATTTTAAAAAAAAATGAATCAAGCTCAATTCTTTTAAGAAGGGAGTGAAATACTTAATTCCTTTCAAGTTTAAAAACATTCGTCAAATATGTAATTGGGAAACGAGATATTCACCCAGTCTCTAAATAATGCTTCACAAATTACTCATGAAAGAGAAAATACTCCTTTCATAAAGAGATCTTATAGAATCTTCCAGTAATAGTTTTACATAACTTCATAGCTAATGGACAAAATTATATCATGGCCTCCTGGTGGGATGCCCTGAGAAAGACACAAGATCATCTATAGAGAATTTCTGCCAGAAACATTTTCCTTGAATTTATTAATCAAAAAACATTTGCTGGAATTTACCTCAGTGGTTCCACCACCTGCTTTGCAAGTGCAAGGACTAGAGTTCAATCCTGCGTACTGAAAAAAAAAAAAAAAAGAAAAAAAAAGAAAAGAAAGAAAGAAAAAAAAGAAAAAGAGAAGAAAAAAAGAAGCAATTGAATAGAGGGCCAGGGATTTAGCTCAGTGGTTCCAGTGCCTGCCTCACAAGCTCAAGGTCCTGAGTTCGATCCCCAGTACCCCCTCTCCCCAAAAGAAACAATTGGATAAATCCAAATAGAGGGACATTCTGCAGAATAATTGGCCCAGGTTCTTCAAAAACATCAACATCCTGAAAAAACACAAAAAGATTGAGGAACTACTCCAGACTAAAGGAGACTAAAGATACTTGACAGGAAAATACAATGTGTGATCCTTGATTATATGCTGAATCAGAGGGGAAAAACAGATATAAATGACATTATTAGGATAATGGGAAAAGTTTAAGAAAACATTCTATGTTAGATAATAGTACTGTGTCAGTGTTAAATTTCCTAAAGGTAGTCACTAAATTGTATTTATATGGATGTATGTACATTCCCTTATTCTATGGAAGTATGTGTTGAAGTGTTTAGGAATGAAATGTCACATTGTCTGCAACTGACTCACATACAGTTCGGTAAAAAAAAGTTAAACATACACATTCATATGTACATGTATGGGAAGGAAGAATAAATTTGGTAAAGTGTTTTCTTAGAAAAAATAATTTTTGGAGAAGTTATTAAAGATTTCAGTGGGATCTGGAGGGAAAAAAGAAAAGCACAACAACTGTTAATAATGTTCTATATTTAGAATTCTGGCAACAGTAAGCTTGAAGAGTTGAAAATAGTTTAGACTTGACACTGCTGAAGCATTCATCAGGGAAATAACCAGAGGAAAGAACCTCATGCAAGAGAGGTGACAGTGTGATTTGATTATTTAACTTATCAGGTTTTCTTGACTTTCCAAGAATAACTTTTTGAGGAAGGGACGAGGCTAGTGCAAAAACACTCAGGGATCTTTTAACCTAGATGAGTAACATCTCAATTTCCTTCCGGAATTTGAGAATGTGTGTGGAGCAGGGAGACCACCATCTGTATTCCCTGGGGAATTTTGATCTGGGGCCGAGGTGGGTGAAGGCTGTGTACAAGCAACTATTATCTTAAAATTTAAGTAGTAGAAAATGGTGCAATTTGTGGATGAGAAAACAGTGAGATTTGTCTCTGAAATCTTTTAAACCAGTGATTTCTGAGGACTTACAGAATAATCACTAGAAAGAGCAGGAAAGGTGTGGAAAGAGCAAACACCAAGGCTGTATTCTGAGCACTTCTGTGAGAGCAGCCCGGGGCCGCCTGTGTTGGGGCTTCAGCAAGGCATCTGAAAGGGGACCTTTTCAGCCTTCCATACCATTTCGAATACTGGATGTATCTACTCAGTATTCTCTCAAATAGCTGGAAAGCAGAGCCCAGAGAGTGTTGCTTTGTCGATTAATTGATTGTCTGGAAGTAGGTTTCCAGCTCTGTGCCCCAGAGCTCTGCGCTTGCTCACTTTTAACAACCTCTCCAATAAACATTGACAGAAACAATGACTATCTAATTTTTGGATGATAAAAACTGCATAAAACTCCAATCATTCTTAGGCTGACAAGAGTATAACTTAAGTGGAGATTTTGACTAAGAGTAGAATAAAGAATAAAACTATAAACATGAAATTTAATTAGGATTAAATACGAAATACTTTAAGCCATTTCTGGATTATTGTGCCAAATTCTAAGACCTACATTTAAAGAATGACACAAAAACACTGGAGTGGGTTCAGAAAAGAATGGCAAAATTACATGTTAGAAACTGTTATTTAAAAATAATTTAAAACAGCTTCAACCTGAAAAAGAGAATATTTTGGGAAGATAGACATGATTATTCTGTTTAATATACAAAGGAATACCATGTGTGGGAGAAATTACATCTATTCAAGAGATCCAGAGAGCTGAACTATGAGAAACAGAAACCGAAGAGACCGATTTCAGTTTAGTATCATGGGGAAAATTCAGCTATTAGAATCACCCCAAAATAGAATGTGATCTAGTGTGAAAGCCTTGTGATCAAGTGGATTTGCCACTGTGGAAAATAATCAAATACAGATTAGAGGACAAAGGAAGGCTTACATTGGATGAAAGAGTGAAATGAATTCTAAAATTCCTCATAGTTTTTTCTGATAACTAGTGATAAGATGAAGAAGACCAAAAGACCAGAGAACTAAAATAAAGTAAACAGTGAAATGGGGTTGAGAGGGATAAAGAAATCTACAAACATAAAACCAGAATACAGAAAGCAAACTGGCTAGAAAAATAAAGAGAACACAAAAACTTGAGGAAATAATACAAATTTGAAACTGGCAAAAGTTTTAGGGTGTTGTCAGAGGACATAGTCTAAGGTTGGAAGGTAAAGTTGGAAGCCAGAACCTAGGAGGTCAGACATTTGGAGACAAGTAATCTGACCAAAGGCCACAAGGTTAAGCCAGCTGTGTTCCTACAGCTTCAGGTCACTCCACAGATTACCTCATTGGTACCATCACTGTGAGAAGAATAATCCAGTACTATTCAACCTCTTTATTAATCACACTTGCCAATATAATGTCTTAATACATTTAAGGATTCCTGAGCAATTCTTTCAACACAATATGGATACATAAAGAGTCTTGGCAAGGATAGTTGTTGAAGGACAATGTGCAAAAAGACTGATCCCAGGAGCTTGGAGGAGCTGCTGGAAGTAGACCATGTTAATTCTGAAGAACACAGACCTATCCCAGTTTGTAGTCAGGAAGCCTTTCCATCACCTTTATATGCGTGATCTTATTTAATCTTTACATGTTCCCTATGTCCAGCTTATAAAACAAAAATGACTTACAAACACTTTTGACTCCACAGTGCCAAGCCAATGCAGAGGTGTGGAGTGTGGCTGCATTCTTCCTGCAAACCTAGAGGTGAGCCATCACATTTGATCCTGCTTCTTCCTGTCAGTGAAGTTTGAGCTTGTTTCCTCAGTGGTAAAAGTGAGGGATAATAGTGCCTCCTGTGTGAATGTGTTGTGAAGTTTAAATGAGGTAATGTTATTAACTAGGTCTCCAGCATATAAGTGAGGCTTAATAAATATTAGCTCTTTTGGAACTGAATGAGCTAGTGCACTGCTGATTGGGAGGGAGGAAGAGAACTCCAATGACTGCCGAGAGACTTATGTTCAAGAGGACCGAGTGGCCACTGCGGGCTGGACCTTCCTGAGATGAAGACACACCTTGCCCAAGCCTCAGTGGAGATACTCTTTTAAGGTAATTGTTGAAGGCAGAAAGTCACTGTGAACAAAGTGCTTTTAATTCATTGAATACATTTTTCTTAAGCAATTACTATGTAAGTTTTACATCTATAATTTCATTTGCTTCTCATGATAATCTTTGAGAGGTCAATATTATACCTAGTTTATATCTAAGCAACTTAATTTTAAATAGAGATTAAGGAAATAGTTGGACTCCACAAACCCCATAGTCAAAAAGCCTTTTATCTCCAAAATAGCTTCATTGCCTCTGGAGAGGAGCAAGCCATGTGTCAGAAGTAAGCATGACGGTGGCTGAGACAGATCAAACATCCCAAAAAACATTCTCAATGGGCTGGGCTGGCCATGAGCACTGCTGATGAATTTTGAAGAATGCCAGTGATATCATAATAGTCATAATAATACCTAATAGTGATTAACAGCTAAGAGCTTATCATGAGTGAGGGCTTTATATACATCATCTCATTTAATCTTTACAACAGCCTTACATGTTCGATTCCATTATTATAGTTCCTGTATTTCAGATAAAGAAATTGAGCCTTAGAACGTTTAAATAACTTGTGAGCTCGTTCCCCACAGAGCACCACCAAGTGGACAAGGCCGGTTGAGTCAGAGAACCCAGCAGTCTTCCCAGTCTCACCTGGAGCAGGGCTATATGGGTCCACCTCAGGGTGGAAAGCTAAGCATAGGGGAGAACTGAAGCCAAAACATCAGCCCCTTATCACTGCCCAATGCATCATGTCTGGATTTTCAAGGCAACACTACAAAACAGGCATCTTTGAAGACTTTTTTACTTCCAGGGTGTTGTGTTTTAATGTGCTCTCCAAATTTCATGTGTTGGAAGCTTTGTCCCCATTGTGGAAACTTTGAGAATTAGGACCTTTGGGAGGTGCCTGAGTCCCGAGTGCTCTCTCCTCAGCTGTGTGCTAATGGGTCATCAAGGGAATTGTTTGTTATAAAGACCAGCTCTCTCTGGCAAGCTTCCTCTGCAGCACCATGCATTGTCCTGTGCTGTTATGTTGTAGGATGAAGACCCTCACCAGATGTTGAGGCTATGCTTTTGGACTTCCCAGCCTCCCAACCATGAGCTAAATAAACCTCCATTCTGTTAAAAAAAAAAAAAAGAAAGAAAGAAAGAAAGTTTAAATAACTTGTGATTCCCAAATCTCTCTGACCCTGATATAACATCCTTATTACTGCACTTCTTCTCTTGGGGCAAGAGAGGATGATAGCACTGATATTAAGGTGGGCCTACTAAAGAAGGGTTTAACAGAATCCAGAGGACCAAAAAGGAAGAAGTGTTCTCTAGCCTGAGCTGGGAATAGCCCCCGGGTGTACAGTAGTGTAAGCCTAGGATTAATACACCTTAGTATTTGAATTCAATACCTCAATTAAGCAAAGTTGTAAGAAGAAAAGGTGAAGGCATATATGAATGAGACAGAGCCCATTTGGAAATGGAAACAAAAGGGAAAATGGAATGCAGGCACCTAGGGAGAAAGAGCAGGTGTTGTCATAAGGGCTGAGGCTTGCTCAAGAGGGAACAGAATATAACTCTGAAATCTACAAACATGGTGAAGAAAAACTGACTAGGTTAAGGGACAGGAAATTATTTTTTCTCCCTTTGGGCATCTTCAAACATTCACCAGTACATGCCAGCACTGCTTTATGTTCACTTACTTCATTTGGTACAAATTATTGGTGCCTCTGTGGTCAATGTCATGGCAGAAAGCAGCAGCAACCATGGCAAAAGCTTCAAGATCAGTGTAGTATTTCTTTAGTCTTCCTGTCTAAAAATAGAGAATGATACATATTTACGTGGGTTTATAAACATCTATTCCCGGTGCAGCAAGACCTGCCTGCAGTGAAGGGGACCCATTATGTTTTTACTACAAGTTGGATTTTCTCTTGTGAATTTTGTAGCATTTTGTGCAATTCCAAAACCTAGCAAGTGATGGAAATTTTCTTTAAGAGGCAAATAAATGATTGTCTAAGTGATAATCCAAGTGCCCAGGGATACCCATGTCATCTTTAGGGGATGAGGATTGTGCTTGTGAATTTCAAAATGACAGATCTGAAATGATGGACCATATCCATTTGTCACCATGCTCAAGTGGGAAATGTGCAGATTTCCAGTGATTTCCAGCATGCCGTACTTACCATCAGCAAGGTAAACATGGTCTGCCCCACGTTGAATCCATGCCGCCAGTTGTGGTAAGTGATGGACCGGTACCCCTTCCTCACTGTGTACATCCATCTGGTAAGAACCTGTTACCCAAAGACGACAACACCATTCAGACTTTGGAACAGAACTCTAAAGGTTAGAAGTCTGTGACAATCTTATCTAAAAAGATGTGTCAGTCTTGTTGACAGAGTTTAAGCTGATGTATTTACAAAGTTAATGATAATTTAAAATCCAAACTGAGTTAATCTTTTGAGCCACAGAAAACATTAGTGAAGTACAGCAATGGAATCAAACAGCATTTTAAGTGAAATATCATCTGACCTCTACAGGTACTTTGAATTTCTCCACCACATTTATTTCAAAAAACAGTTGTAGTCCACATTTAATCAATTCATGCTCAGTAAAGGGAAAGTCACTGAAGTGGAATTCATATAGGTCTACTGCCTTTGGATCCGGCAAGTCCTCTTTCTATTGAAAAGACAGATTGTTTCAGAATACATTTATTTTTTCCCTTTACACTCACATACCCAACACTGAAGTAAAAAATTACGATAAAAGAATACCATAGACAAGTTACTGAGCCAATATATGTCAGACACCGGGTTATACAGTTTGCATAGATTACCCTCAAAACAAACATACAAAATTATCCCCATTTTACAGGTGGTTAAGTTGAGACTCAGCCGTATTTAAGCAAAATGATGGTTTCTGATCCTCTGGTTCCTGTGCCTGGGTTGGCCCCTCACATTCCTGTCCCTTCCCCATGGAGGCTCCCAGGGCCCTCCCATGCTCCTGTCTCTTGGTACCTACATATGTCCTCCACATTATGGATAAAGCAATCCCTCAAATATGCACTCCCATGTGGAGAGACAGACAATGCAATAAGCACAACTCTTAACAGTCAGAGTTATGGGGTAGGGGTGCCCTGTGCCACAAAGCCTTCCTGCTGGAGGCTTTCGCAGACTCACTGTTCTCTGAGGGTTATTTAATGAACAAAGGTAAATTACTCTGGCTGCATTGCAGGTTCAGTCATGCCAAAGTATAAATGTGCATTTTAGCAGGAAACAAAGTACAAATTTCTCAGAATTATGATTCGCAGTCCCCATTTACAGACACAGGCAAACCCATAAAATACTACTGTAATACAGAAACCACAGATTTTGAAGAACCACAGTTTTTCAGGTTGTGATACAGAGACTGGTAGAAACAGTGACTTCTTATTGTTCTTATACATGGGCATTCTGGCTCCCATCGAAGATTTTTTCCTCTTTGTAGGAATCATGCAGCTGAGGTCTGGTGGTGTACAGGAAGTGGCTACAGGCCATGAGGCTGCAAAGTGACCACACTCCAGCCTGCTTCCAGCCTGGCTGGCCTCATCTACTCCCAGAGGGGTTGCATGAACTCTGATCAGGTTATTTTCCAGGTCCCAGAATGCAGGCTGATCACAGTTTTGTCCTGCACCTATGCCAGGCCTCCCAAGTAGTTTTTGTCACTTCTCACCTCTACTCCAGCCACTTTCAACCACTCAGGTTTTCCTGAGACAACACACTGTCTTGAGTCTGAGTAGGGCAGTGGCCTTGGTTATGTTTTTCTCTCCCTAATCCACAAAGGGCTTTGTGAACCAGATCATAATATCTTTTGCCCTCAGCACCTAACATTGTCTCTTGTAGTATGGTGTGTTTCAATAATTAATGAATGAAGAAACTGAATAAAGAATGAATGAGCTGCTTCACTCAGAATTCCTCTCCAAATCTATGGTTGGGGAAATGTTAGCTGCAGGAGCCTCTGTAAGTGCCCAAATGTCCTAGGGAGTATGAAGGCACTGGTCACCGCCCCTACCTGAGTCAGAGCACTGTTACTCTGGCCCTTCCCAGCACAGATGCATGGAAGCCTTGTCATGCCTCAAAAAGAGAGCTGAGCCTCCCTGGGGCCTACAGTTAAAGGGTGAATGTGGAGAAAGAATCAGGGTGAGTGGAGATGGACACATAAGAATATGTTTGAGAAAAGATGCCAGTATAATTCTAGAGAGCTCTTCTGGTTTATTTAAATTTCTAAATTTTATGCAGCAATGATTTAGAATTAGCTCAGCATAGCTTTTACATTCAAAATATGCTGTTTTTGGTAAGTCTATGGTACTCTGCCTATTTATTGATTCTGCCACATAAGGTTCTTCCTTCTCTACAAAGGTAGCTAGAGAATTTCTAGTGTCATGCTTGTCAATGCAATCTTATTTCACAAGAAGATGCATATTTGAGGACAGGTAAGGAGGGAAGAAGTTTCCTTTTCTGGGCCAGGAATGAGAGGTGGCACTCAGAGGCTGAGCCCAGGAAAGTTGGAGAAAGAGAGGACATCTCAGGTAACACAAAAATATGGACGGGGTGAGGAACTGGTCCCTCAACAGGAGTCAAAGGCCAGTGGTCTATGGCGGGAGAGCAAAGGGCTAGTATGGGAGGAGAGAGCCTATACAATAGATAGGGGGCAGGTAATTTGGTGTGACGCCAGTTAGAACTCTTGTATCATGAATTGGATAGGGGCAGTGGCAAACAAGATGAAGTAGATTACAGGAAATTAGATGTGATATTACCTCAATTTCCATCACAGAATTTTGGCCTCAAATCTTGGTAAATATCCCAGAAGTTCATGAGATCACAGAAGAGCTGCACTCTAGAAACAGGTGTTCCACCCCAATAGTAAGGGCAAAGACCACTGCCAACAAAATCTCAAACCAGTTTTCATCTATCAGAAGAAAGTCTAGTCCTCTTTGTAGAAAGATAATAGCACTCAGAGCCCTCACAAGTTTTTATTTATAAATTTTAAAATTACAAAGCAGGTTTTAAAACAAGATCAAAGGACTGAAAGCCACATTTAAAAATAGACAATAAAACCCACACTTGAGGTGATTCAGGTATTAAGAGGGGTACTTTAAAGTAATTATGACCAACAGATTTTTAAAAATAGAAAGAAAAATAGTCAAAATAGATAAAGTGATGAAAAATTTAAACAGAGCTCAAACTAAAAAAAAAGAATCAAATGTACATTCTAGAACTGAAAGAAACAGTCTCTAAAATTAAAAATTTATTGAGTGTGTTTAATTGTAGACTGGAAGCAACAAAAGACAAGACTAGGGAACTGGAAGAGAAGTTCATTTCAACCAGAAATAATAGAAGTCACCTAATGACCACACACACACAAAAAAGCACCGAGTCTCTCCAAACGCCAGAAAAGAAGCTGGAGATGGCAGATGGTCATTGTGCCTTGCAGTGGTCTACGTTCTAGTGTCACTTTGGCATGTCCTCTGGGCAGCCATGGTACGAGCTAAAATAAACTATGCTGTGATATCCCTAGATTCTGTACCTGAGGTTCCTCATGCAGGAGCCTGGTTTAGCTTGTTAACTTAATTGTAGGGAACACAGAAGAAAGAAAAGCAGGAAATCAAAAGATCAGGATTTAGCAAAGATCTCCTATGTTTTTGGCCTTGAGAAGTGTCAAGATAAAGGAAACATAATATTTATTGAAAACTGAGAAAGCATGTTCTAATATATTTTATTAAAAAGGCATCAGAGAGAGAAGAAAAACACTTACCAAAATTTTAACAAGCTGTTTTTCTTCACAGTCTTCAATTACATCTATATTTAACTTCTCTTTAAATTTCTAAAATGTAAAAGCAATTGAGGTGTGAAATGCCTATGAAGATTTCTGATATATTAAAATCAGATAAGATATATTTAAAATGTCCTATAAAAAAGTCCATGATAAATACATATTCTTTATACAAAAACCTTATTATGAACAATTCTATTCAAGAAATAATCAAATATTATTGATTTCTCTAGTCTCCCAAAGTGTAACAGTAGTCATCACAAAAAGAACAGCAAAAAGGAGGTGTGGATTATGTGTATGTAGGTAATAAAGAAAAAAAAATGAGTGGTTTACATCTGTTTTTCTAGTAGCTGATAGCAATTTCTCATGATTCCTCTATACTTTCTCATCTTTAATATCTCAGACTCTCAAATCAAGTATGTTTTAACTCTCAATCTTCCCACCCAGCAAAACCAAAACCAATCAAACAAAACAAAATCCTTCCACAAAACTACACACATTTTAAAAGCTAGGGAAATGCAAGGAATAGAGATAGTGGGTATGGGATAGTTTCCCTTCTTTGTGGTAACCAGAATGCTGAGCAAAAATCCACCAACTCCTCCATCATCCATGTCTTGATCATGTGACTTTCTTTCATAAATGATAAATTAAGTAACTGTAATGTGAGCAAAGATTTGAAATGTGCTTCAACAGTTGGGCTTCCTTTCTGCACTTCTGTCACTAGTGTGAGAAGAGCACTTATCAAGCAGTGGCTAGTCCACAGAAGAAAAGAGACCCAAAGAGAAATCCAAACTCACAGCTTAGAGCCACACTCAGTCAAGGTAAAAGAAAGCCTAGTCAACTCCCAAATGAGGAGTGAGAGATAGATGTTTATTATGTTATGGTTGTTTTTAGACAGCATTGTATAAAAATAGCTGACTGCTACACTGCTCTTCCTGGAAATATTTTTTTCCTTGTTAATATACTTAAATTTAGATGTTAAATTTAGAGCTGCTTCAGCTCTTTAGACCCAGGAACTGTTTTCAACCAAGCACCATTTCAACCAAGCAATATGGACACCAGTAAAGGTTTGTGTACACTGAGCCATTGAGCTCCACTTTTCACCTCTTCTTCTCTGTCTTCCTTTCTTTATCACAGGCTAAATCTCTTCTCATTTGTCAGACTCCTGGGTAATTAGGTGGTTTCCAGAAGCTAACATTCACATCACCTAATGTCCAACAGACTGAATTCACCACTTACCAAAACAGACTTAATTTCATCAGCAGAGGCTTTGATCTGGTTCATAAGCATTTCCTGAGCAATGTCTTTTCTGTTTTCTAGCTTATTCATTTTCTCATAGGTGTCAGTATTTAGAAGAGACCATCCAAGAAATTGTGTGAGAGTCTGAAATATATAAAAAGTGATTCAGATTCTCTACAGTTGGAGGAAAATTGATTTGGGGGCACATCTGCATGCTTTCCTGTGAGTCAGCCTCTATTCTACCATCAAGACCCCAGTTCTTTATTTTATTTTATTTATTTATTTTTTTGGTACCAGGGATTGAACTCGGGTCCTTGTGCTTGTGAGGCAGGTGGTGGAACCACTGAGCTAAATCTCCAGCCCAAAGAAAGTTTTTTTTTTGGTACTGTGAGACCTAACTAACTCCATTTTAAAATTCGACTCCATCTTGGAATAAGACAGTAAAGTGGCCTTGACATAAATTCCACTTCACTGAAGTCAACTATTCCCCTAGTCTCCTTTGTGCCCATAAACTAATGATAAAATGTCCTTGCTGTGAGACAACAGATAAAAAAAGGACACAGCTCCTAACTCAATCCTCTGTCTGCCCAGAAAACAGACGCTCCCGGGCCCATTATCTATAGAACATTCTGTCAATGTGCTGATTGTTCCTTTTTCCCATAAAATCTACATGTAGCCACCCCTCAACCCCCCCCCATGTACACCCCATACTTGCTAAATATCAACCAATCATGTAACTGCTAAATGGAAAATCCCCAAACCTTGCTATAGCCACAATAAAAACCCTGCTGATTTGGAATTCGGGGCTCTCAATCCTGATCCGCTGCGTCGGTGACAGTTGAGTGCCCCTGCTCGAGCTTGAATAAACGACCCTCGTGTGTTTACATCGGAATCAGCTCCTTGGTGGTCTTTGGGGACTTCGCGATCTGGGCACAACAGTACCAGGGATCGAACTCAGGACCTGGCACTTGTGAGGCAGGCACAGTGCTTGTGAGGCAGGCACAGCACCACTGAGCTAAAACCCTGGCCCCCAGTTCTTTATTTTAATATAAGAAAAACCACATGAGCTTATTACGCTAGACAATAAACTCTGCTAACCCCTTGCTTTTCAAAGTGCCATGTACTATGAGTCTCCTATTGCAGGGGAGAAATTACAAACACCAGTAGAATAAAACAGGACCTAAAAATTAGACAGAAGGCTAAATGAGATGAAAATGAGAATGAGAGTGAATAGTAAGGAGGAGGAGAAGAAAAAAGACAGAAATATTCTTTCCTGTTTTTCTAGAATTAGAAAGCTTTTGGGTTAGGCTACATTTCAACCTTTAATAAAAAATGTTGCAGTATGAAGAACTCAGGAAATCGAAACGACAAAACAACATTTTGGTTACAACCATGTGTGACTCATGTCTTAATTGCCCTTCAAAATATCATTTCAGAATAACAAATAATTATGCATCCTCCATTATTTCATGAATTTTCCTTGCCTCCATTATTTTATTATTATGCTTACCTCAGTAATGTGTTCATCATGCTCATCAAAGGGTTTTCCATCCTTTCTGTTGTAAAATGTAGCTACTCCCACAATATCTTCTTTCTTGTTGACAATAGGCAGGGACAATACATTTTTAATAACCCAACCAGTTTCATCTACAGGTCCTTTCTACAAACAATAAGAAAATAACTTAGTTTATTTCAGTTTTTTACTTTTAATTTGAAATAGTTATAGATTCATAAGGTGTTGCAAGAAAATGTATAGAGAAGTCTCATGTACCTAGTTTCTGCCAGTGGTAACATCTTGTGTAACTATAGTACAAAATCAAAACTAGATAACAGTATACAATCTACAGAGCTTATTTAGATTTCATCATCTTTACTTATTTATTTTTGGTACCGGGGATCGAACTCGCAGGTGGCAGAACCACTGAGCTAAAACCCCGGCCTAGATTTCATCATCTTTATATGTACACACACATACATATGTGTGTGTATATATTTGTATTTATAGTTCTACACAAGCTTATCCATGTATTGATTTTCAACCACTATTAGCATCAAGAATACAGAATTATTTCCTTACCACATGACATCCTTGAGTAGTCACTACCCTACCACCCACCATTTAGTTTAAGTAAATATTTCAGTGCTACATGTGCAATTTCCATTTTGTGTCAGAACATGACTATGACTGTACAACCATTATAAATGCTCTATGGCATCCAATCAGGTATAGTAGAACTAAAACCAAATGTCTGTTCTGACAACTCTAACCTTCTCCCTTTGTTCCCCAGCTCCAGGGATGGAAAGAGCCTCTAAACCCTATATAACTTCACTGTTGCCTTTTCACTTTTTTATGGCCTGAAATGCCTATTTAGCTAATTTATTATATTAAATTCTCTCTGTTGAAATATTTAATGTGGTTCTGTTTTCCTGACTGGTCCATCAAGACAGTCTTTTGTTTTATGGTACATTGGGTTTAGTAAATGTCTGTAAAGCCTTGTTGATGTGCCAAGGACCTGGCTAGTTGTTGGGGTTACAAAGGTGAATAAATAATAGACCCCACCCTCAGCCTACTTGCAATTAGTGGGGGAGGATGCAAGCATAAAAGTTCAAGACTGTTTCTCAAAGTGTGGCTCAAGGACCACATGCAACAGGTTCTCTTTAACATGTATATAGTCTCTGGGCATGCATTTTAAATCATTTCTCTAGGGAATTCTGATATCTTTCATGTATGAGAAGTACCTATGGCATCTGCAGAGCATGTGGCTAAGGCAAAGGGAACCATGCACTCACCACACCATACTGGTTGGTTCTTTAAGCCCCTTGTGACTTATTAAACATCCTTAGAGGCCTTTGTTAAGTTTTAGCCCTCACACGAAGCCTTCTTTAACTTTTCTAACTCATACGGAAATTTTCTTTTTCAATAGTCCAATAGCACTTATTTCCTGGATCATACAATTTAGCATCTAGATATTTTCTAAATGCTTTAAAATTGTTGATTTTGGTCTCTGAGTCTGTCTTTTAGTTATCAAAGGGCAAGCATTATTGCTTAAACTACTAAATTTCACATAAAGGGTGGCACTGTGCTAAGATATAATAGTAAACAAATACTATGTAAACAAATAATACAAGTAAGTTGTTTATTCTTTATCACTAATCTTTATAATTGAAATGAAAAGCAGAGAAAGCTAAACTTCAATTTGTATGCCCTAATGGTCAAAACTTTGGAAAATAAGATGCAGTATATAGTGTTCTCCAAGTCTTCAAGCTTGGAAAACTCTGAGAAATATTTATATACTTATACCATTGTATGGATCAGGGACAAAATCATTAACGGAAAATATATCCTGCATGTGTGCAAAATAACTTCACAACCTTAAGTACCTATTATGTTTCTTGAAGCTTTCAAAATAAAAAAAGCTTCATCGACTCCTTATTGATGTTTTTTGCTTTGTTTTTATTTTCAAAATGGGAGTCTCGCTCTGTTGCCCAGGCCAGTCCT